GCCGGCGACCTCGCGAAGACTCAGGTTCTCAGTGTTGCAGTGCCCGACTCCCCCAACCTTGATTCCGACAGCCAGAAGCATTCACCGGTAGATATGACGATGGCTCCCTATCCAATTACACCACCGGCCGACAATCCCAATCCACCCCCCTCCGCTGTCGGTGAACTTTTGGACCCTGCTCATATAATGCCAAAGCCCGAAGAGCATGCGCTCGATGGGTACAACCACGTAGCAGAGGAGCAAGCTGCCGATGAGTCGCGAAGAGGCGACGCGAACCAACAAATAAAGGACCTTCCTATCAGCTTCTCTATCCCTCCATCTAGAAGTCTACCCAGCGACCCGCCTAGCGTCCCTCCCCCACGACCCCCGCCGGCTCTTCCGACCGGACTTCCCTCAGCGCCTCAACCTGGCGGCGAGGATGGCCTTGGCCAATTTCCTGCTCCCCCTCCGAGAAAGGCTCCTCCTGCTCCCCTTCAACTTGGCAAAGGTCAGAAGCCTGGTGTCGCCGATGACGAGGAGACCGACACGGACTACGATGACATCCTGGAAGTAGATGAAATCGTTGATGAAAAGCGAGGTCGACGGAGGACAAGGGAAGAGGATGAACGTGACCGACATGCTCAGGCCGTGAAGGAAGCCGAAGCTAGAAGTCTCTCTAAGAAGAGCAAGAGCCCAAAGAGCCAGCAAACGCCTACTGTGATGCATGAGCGCGGCAAGGACTCTGCGACCATTCCCATCAGCCCAAGACACGTGCCTTCTGCTCCTGCAATTCGGGAAACCGTTGTGCAATCTTCTCTTGACGGTATGATGAATGGAGATCTTGGAATGCCACCTGCTTTGCTTAGTCCTGGACTTCCCTCGAGCCCGCGGCCATTCGGCATGGGAGGACTGCGCACCCCTCTTCTAGGTGCCTCCCCGCCGATGTCTCCCCGCGGTATGACGCTAGCGAACGCACCACCGCTCTCACCCCGACCTCCCCGACAACCCATTCCTCTCCCTCCCTCCGCTCAGCTTACAACTGGACCAAGGACATCGAACACCTCCTTGGCCACACCCACCCCCAAGCCCTTGACGATCAACAGGATTAGCGCGGAGAACTCACCTTCAACCCCGGAGTCCCAGCACCAAGATAGTCCTACTCATCGGACCCACATCTTCAAGGGACTCGTGACGGACGAGTACCCTGATTTGCTGATGCCGCCCAATGCCCTGCCGTCAGTCGAAGTCCGTGTCGCTTCTTCGAGGATGAAGCCATCTAGAGCCAGTTTGCTCTCACTCACGCAACTTGAGGAGGACCCCGTCTTCACCCTTGCCGTCGTTTCTCGTGCCGATGGTGGTGAGCTTTGGCGCGTGGAGAAGGACTCGGCATCTCTCTCCAAGCTTGATTCGCGGATGAAGCAATGCGCTGCCTTCACGGCAAGGACCCCTGATCGCTCGCTCTTCAGTGGGCATTCTCCCGCTAAACTTGATGCCAGGAGGGTTGCCCTCGATCACTACTTGGACGAATTGATGAACTCCCCTCTTGATCATGATACTGCCGTAGAGCTGTGCAAGTATCTCTCCACCAACACACTGCCACCAAACTCGGAAGAGACCGTTGGTGTCAGGAAGAAGGTTGTTGCCGCTTCCACCCGAAAGGGAGCCGGAGGCCGCCCACTAATCAGCGGGTATCTCACTAAGCGTGGAAAGAACTTTGGCGGGTGGAAGGCGCGTTACTTTGTCCTTGAAGGCCCGCTTCTCAAATACTACGAGACTCCGGGCGGGGCCCATCTTGGCACGATCAAGCTGCAGAACGCCCAGATTGGCAAGCAGTCTCAACACCAGGACAACCAGTCCCCGGCCCCGGCTCGTGGACCGAACCCGCCGGATGAAATTGACAACCAATACCGCCATGCTTTCTTGATCCTGGAGCCCAAGAAGAAAGATACTAGCAGCCACGTCAAGCACGTCTTGTGCGCAGAAAGCGATATGGAGCGAGACCAGTGGGTGGAGACGCTTCTCCGGTGGATCGATTACCGAGACCCTGACGATGACGATCAGCCCCAGCAGAAGCGAGGCCAACCTGAACGCCGGGGCTCGAATGACAACGCCGGTAAATCGTCCAAGGGTCAGCCGAGGAAGAAGCGCGAGCAGGGGAAGTCACAGCATCAACCTTCTAGCTCGGAGACGCTCATCGGAGTGAGCTATGACTCGACAACTGCGGGTGACACCCCTCAAGGCATTCCGCGTGGCCGAAACGGTGGCGGAACCTCTGAGCGGCCCAGGACCGCAGGCGGGGAACGTCCAAAGACTGGATCTGGCTTCGGGGGCAACGCCTACGACGGTGAAGTCCAAATCCCCGTGATCTCCGCGCCCCGGGATCCCCAAGTCATCTCCGATTCCTCATCGTGGGGTACCAAGATGGGACTTACTACTCCCGGTCTCGCACCACCGAGCTACGAAGAAAAAAAGCAGCGGAAGCGCAGCTTCTTCGGCTTCGGTCCCAAGACCAGGTCTTCATCCGATGGCCAAGACTCGCTTTTTGATGGGGCTAGCTCTTCTACTCCTCCCGACTACAAGGGCCCGATTCGCCAAGTTTTCGGGGCTCCTCTGGCTGAGGCAGTCCGCTTTAACGCGCCGGTTGATGTCAACGTTCCTCTGCCTGCTGTCGTATACAGATGCATCCAGTACCTCGATTCCAGGAATGCTGTCTTTGAGGAGGGTATATTCCGGCTCAGTGGATCCAACGTGGTCATCAAGCAACTCCGAGAACGCTTCAACAATGAGAGCGACGTGGATCTCGTTAATGATCGCACTTACTATGACATTCATGCGGTTGCTTCTCTTCTCAAGCTATACCTTCGTGAGTTGCCGACGACTATACTTACCCGCGACCTCCACCTCGAATTCCTGGCCGTGACCGAGTTGTCCAATTTGAAGGAGAAGGTTGCTGCGTTGAGCGAGCTTGTTGTGCGGCTTCCTCAGGCCAACGCGACGTTGCTGAAATACTTGATTGCGTTTTTGATCAAGATTATCAACAACGCGGACGTGAATAAGATGACGGTGAGGAATGTCGGTATTGTTTTCTCGCCTACTCTTAACATCCCGGCACCCGTCTTCGCTATGTTCTTGCAGAATTATGAGGGTGTTTTCGGCATTGACCCTGAGGAATACGAGTTGCCATCGCCGACCTCAGAGTCTGATTCTCAGTCACAAGGACCCGGTCGCCCGTCGTTTGAACCACAACCGCGTCCTTCGACCTCTCAAGGCAGCAACGCGTCACCTCATCGACAGCGACTCATGCAAAATGTCATGGATGCTCCCAGGGCGTCTCCCACCCCCCCTCTCCTCATGAATCTCAACGAGGCACGCGGATCACCTACGCCGCCGCCGTCTTTCCCAATGGGCGGCCGCCAGACCAACTACGAGCCCCAATACTTGGCCCAGCAACAACAGCAAACCTCTTCGGGCTCTAGTCTGCGACCGGCTTATGAGAGCGGTTTCAATGCTCCCTCGGGATTCGACCCGACGGCCTTTTACAACCCACCAAGGACTGCCAATCCTGGATATGACAGACCGATTTTTGAGGGAGATTATAGCAAGCGCCGAGAGAGCGCCATCTTTGGAGCTGGTGCCATTCCGAATCTTACGCCTCAGCCTTCTAAGAGCCGCCTCCGCGAGGAAACACTCTACTAATTATACGCCGAGGTCGTTACGTTTTCTTTTTTTCTGCCTTATTCGCACACGAGAGTTTTCCTTCTTCTTTTCTTCCTCTATATACCGGATCGTTGGTTATCTTGGTTTCATTGTCGCTTTATCTCGTCATTGCTTCATGATACCACATTTTTTCTGTTCTCTTTTCGAAATTTCTTCTTTTGCATCCGCGCGATGCTCATTTGTTTTTGTACAGCGACTGGCGTGCATCCCCAACCGTTTGCTGCCACCGCCGCCAGACTGCGAACTTTTATCACGAATGTGCACCCCGGGGAAGGTAATACTTCCCATATCTCCAACCTCACATCAGAGGCTGGACCGAGACACGACTAGCAATGATGATGACGACTCCCCTTATGCGGATATCTACGATACTTAAGCCGAGTGTCCGAATTTAGGCCGTAGAACACATTGCTAGTCCCCGATGGAGATGGCACTGTACATTATGTCTTTTTGGATTTTTGGATCTTTTTGCGTTTTGTTTTTCCATCTCCTTTTAGCAATTTGTCTATGCTCTCGATTTTAGGTGCCACGAGAGGTGTTTGAAACTTTGATATCACATCAGACCTTTTGGATTTTGCTTTTTCTTTTGCGCAGACGAGGGAGGGAGTTGGCGACAGGGGACTTAATCTCTGTAAGGCGTCGTGGGAGTTGGATATGTAGCCATGTGGCTTCTTTTTTTCTCTTGTGTGTATATACCCTGGGCCTGGACAGGGCGTCTCTATCTCTTGATCTAATGAATAACATCTTGCCATGACTGCATCTTGAAGAGCAAATCAAGTACGTGTGAGCTTGTGTAAATTACAACCCTGTTTGCTGAAGTTGTGTGTTTCAATTGTTGCGTCACGATTGTTCTCGTATCCAGGGTTCTTATACGAGCCTTGATTACGTAATACGAAGATTCCAGGCACCGCTGTTATTGTTGCAATCTTGGGCCTGCGTCATAATATCAATTTTGCATCAAACAATGTCGGCGATCGGCTCTTCCCTTCCCGTTTCTCCGACACGTCCGCCTCACATGCGACTGTGAACGAGGCATAAGAAAAAGCATCGGTCACGGCACCCCGTCCCCCCGCGGTTTTCTTGAAGAATCGAATACCGAATCTACACCTTTGTAAATTATTATCAATTAATTTTTTTTCGGTCTTTTCGTTTTCGGAGTTGGCTGGCTGTCGATTTCGCTACAGTCACTGTACTGTGCTTTTCACAACGTAGCATCATACTACCCTTCACGCTCTCTCCCTCAACTGACAGGAAAACAAAAGAAAACAAATAAGGAAAAAGGAGAAAAGGGAGAGAATTCCGTGATGGAGCTGGCATCCCGGGGGTCGGGAGCCAGTCCCCGTGCGGTGGGGGCATCATCGGCGGCGTCGTCGCCGGCCCAGGGCGGCTCTACCTCGAGTGGTCGATTCGGGGATACGTCGGCACAGAGTGATTCCGCGGTCGACACGCCACCGCGGATCGGAGGACACTCCATTACTGTGTCGGCTCCGGCAGGCCCGTCGGCGGGAACGGCCTCGCAGCAGCAGCACCATCAGCAACAGGCTCAGCAGCAACAACCACAACAGCAGAGATCTTCAGTGGGGGAAGTCGGACCGGCGGCTCACGCCGATGACGCAAAGCGGTCGAGGGCGTGCGAGGCATGTAGGGGTCTCAAGGTGCGGTGCGAGATGGTGGAGGACGGGCCGTGTCGGCGGTGCATGAAGGCGGGGAGGAGATGCGTCGTCACGGCTAGGACGCGCACGGGCGAGAGGCAGAAGAAGACGGATACGAGGGTTGCCGAACTGGAGAAGAAGATTGATGCGTTGACGGCGACGTTGCAGGCTAGGGCGGGGCCTGATCAACAGCAGCAGCAGCAGACCCCGATGTACGGGGGTGTGGGGTCTACTAGTGGTAGCAGTCATGGCGTTGGCACGGCCGTCGGGCAGAATGCATCGCGCCCGGCGCATGTGTCTTTGTCGGCGGTTAGCGAGACGGCAACGATGCGGACCCGGTCGCGGGATTGGGGCGCCGTGCTCGGGATGTCGGAGAATACAGGGCCAGCGGGCGTTGACACATACCAACCATATGCGGCTGCTGCCGGACAAAAGAGGAAAATCGAGGACATTCTGGGCCAAGGCATCCAGAACTCTCCGCAAAAGAAGTCACCGGCGGCTAAAAATGCTAGTCTCGGAGCTGATTACGTCGATATCGTGGAGAGAGGGATCATCACGCTGGATATTGCGGACGAACTTTTCGCTCGGTACAACGATGAGATGATTTTGCATCTTCCCGGCGTCGTCTTCCCCCCGTCCATGAAAGCCAATGATCTCCGACAAGAGAAGCCGTTGCTGTTCCTGGCGGTCATGGCGGCTGCGGCGGCGGCACGGGCAAGTTTACAGCGAACGCTCGTCAAGGAGCTCATGGAGATCTTTGGCCAGAAAGTCATCTGCAACGGGGAAAAGAGCCTCGAAATCGTGCAGGCGCTCCTCGTATCCGTGATGTGGTACTTCCCACCCGAGAGTTTCGAAGAGCTCAAGTTTTACCAGCTGGCGCACATCGCCTCAGTCATGGCCCTGGACTTGGGCCTCGGCCGCAGCAACATGACAAAGCGTAAAAACACATCACAGCAGCAGCAGCAGCAACAGCAGCAATCTATGCACACGCTAGGCTTCTACACGTTCCGCCCTGGAAAGGATGACCCCGAGAGTCTCGAGTGCAGGCGCACCTGGCTCACGTGCTACTACCTATCGTCGAACACGGCCATGGGACTCCGGCGCCCGTTCCTGCTTCGGTGGAGCTCGTTTATGGAGGAGAGCGTCAGGTTGTTGGAGACGTCGCCCGAGGCGGCGCCGACAGATAAGTATCTCTGTTACTTGCTGCGTGGGAATAAGCTTGGGGAGGATGTGGCGATGCGGTTTTCGCTTGATGATCCGGGCTTGACCTCGACCTTAGAGGATTTTGGGACGCAGTTGGCTCTGAGGGGGTTTGAGGTGGAACTAGAAAGGCTCAGGCGTGCCATACCGAAGGAGCTCATGAGACGTACGTTATGCAAAATGCTTTCTACCTCCCCTCTTCTTGCAAGACGTTAACAATCATAATTTAGCCACCATGTTAATCAGCATCGAATACATCAACATCTACATGCACGAAAGCTGCCTCCAAGCCCCCAATGCCGACTCATTCAAATCCTGCATAGCAACAACAGCCCTCGACGACGACATGGTCAACCCCAGAGCCATAGGCCGCGCCCAAATCGATGCGCTCCTCGTGTGCGTCGCCGCCGTGACGGGCACCTTCGACAAGTTCCTCGCCATGGACGTAGCCAGCATCCGGTGCCTCCCCGTGTTCAACTTCGTCCGCGTCGCCTACGCTCTTGTCATCCTCATCAAGGTGAACATTGCCGTCACGGCGCCCGGATCGGTGCTCGCCAGTGTGGTCACGGATAGTCTCAAGGCCGAGTACTACCTCGACGCGCTGCTGGCCAAGTTCCTCGAGGCGTCGTCAGAGGATAAGTGTCGTCCGGCGGGCAAGTTTTTACTGGTTCTTGCTATGCTTAAGGGGTGGTTTACGAATAAGGCGGCGATCACGACGAGGAAGAATAGTATGGCCAACAAGGGTGGAAATGACCCAGGCCTGGGATTTCAGCAGCAGAATAACAGCAGCAACAACAACAGACCCGGACTTCCTGACATGTCTACTACCACCCCGGCGTCAACGGTCTCAGGGTCTACAGGAGATGCAGGTTCTCGACCATCGGGAGCGGACGTTTCCCCGCCTATGGGCCAAGGTCATCAAGCTTACAGGCAACATCAACAGCAGCCGACACCAGCCTCCATGGCAAATTACCCAACAGCAGCTACGGCAAACACACCATTACAATTACTATCAGAAGTGGCAACAGGTGATTCGGATCCGGGACGTCGATCCTCGAATATGGTGTGGCCTAATAGGGCCGCCGCGCAAGGATATAATATGTACGACGACGGAAGAGGATCATCCTTGGACATGCAGGCGCAACAATATTCCTGGCCGGCCTCTTCTTTGGGCTTGGAGATGGACTTTGACAATCTCCCCGAGGGGCTAGACTGGGAAGGTCTGGCGATAAATCTCGGAATGGGGCTCCCCCTCAACAACGAAGACGGGTTACTGAATGTGGCGGCCATGACGACGGAGCCTTTGCTCCTAGCAGGTGTGGGCGCGGGAGACCGTGCAAGGGCTGTCGGAGGCGTTCAGGCGGGAATGGGTGCGGGCGTTTGGAATCAGATCTACCAGAACCAAGGCTAAAAAGCTCTCTCACCTCACACACTCTCTGCTCTTCTTTTCTGTTTGGTACTAGGTTGATTTTTGATCTCATGTGGTCGTCATGTATAATAGCACATAGTTTAGGGTGGGTGGGCAGGAAAAAAAGGTCAGGCTCGATATGAGAAATGAACAAACAAAGAGAGGGGCGCCTCGTCGTGGAGTTAAAAAGGAGAGGGGGTCCGGAACATTAGGGAAAAGCATCCGTCAACCATCCGAAGTGTACTAGTATCGTTGTCGCGTGCGTGCGTCGCTCCATCTACCCTCAATCACAAAGAGTTGCATACTGCATGAGCATAAGCATGAGCATAAGCATGAGCATGAGGGATGGCAGATGGGAGATGGGCCGATGTGCGAAGTAGCGAGGGAGGCGGGGCTAAGATAGCGCGAATCCTTTGCATATAAACTGAAATTTAATTTTTCGGCCTAAGGTTGGGAGAAGTAAGATCCAGTCCGGGGAAGGGAAGGATGGAGGTGGCCCTAACTCTGTCAAGGAAAGTGGTAATGAGATCTCAGACATCCGACATGCTTAGAGTCTGGGGTAATGATGCTAAAAGGGAAGCAATGGCAAAAAGTGGAGCCCTCCAATTGGCAGTGTGGGCACCGTGGCTCGTTTATCATCTGTGCTTAAAGCACGAGTTATTCGCGGTTGGGAATTTCTTTAGGTGCAAGGGAGGTGCAAGGGATTGAATGTAACTGGATACTTCCTCGGATCTAGAGTACCACTTTGGACCCCGTAGGAAAGGAAGGGGGGTGTCAATCTTGCTAGTGTCTCTCTGTGCCGAGCGCGAGTGGGCGATAGTTCATCTCAAGGAATCTAGCTTCAGGGCGGGGAACTCTCTTTGCTTGGGCAAACAGTTGAAGCGGGGCGACCGTGATGGCCTGAAGAGAGAGCAAGGAGCGGGGGGGAAATGAGGAGGAGGGGGGAAAGAACCACCCATCAAGTCTTGGGCTTCGAACTTAGACAATGAACAAATTGAAAGCCACCACTCACTCGACCGAGTCAGCGGCGCAGGGATGACGGAGTCGTGCCATCTCCGAGTACCTTTGTCGTTGATTGCCCTTCGGACGATGACTTGCAGAAGCCATTCGGGAAGATGATTGTCGATGCTTCTCGAATTGGATGATGAACTTTGTGACATGCGATGGAATAATGCTCGCCGAGTCTGATGGCATTTTGGGCTACGGCTGCTTCGTCCCTCAGTGATTGAGGGGACGTGCGCAACAGGACCCCTTTTTTTCCTTGTGACAGGGAACACCGTGGTTTCCATCGGCGTTGCACGTGCAAAACAAGGACAGCTTGAACTTCCTAGTCGCGGGGCTGGCCGTGGCATGCACGGTTTCGACCTGACCTTGGTGCTGGAGTGGAGACGAAGCTTGGACAATTGTACAATTGTATGCTAGGAGTCTAAGTGTGCGTTGCACCTGCCCCAGAGGCGCCGGTCACGCCGTTGCAATAGTGGGTTGATAGCAATAGTCAACGTCATTAACGTAAGTGACGATCCTCCACGCCCAACACGCACGCACATGCACACGCCCACGCTTGCTCTTCCAGCAACGACGAAGTACTCTGCCCCAATCGAGGAGTGAGATCTAGCTGGATTCATGTTCTCGAGAGATTGCATAATAGATTACAGACTTACGCTATTTTCATTCTGGTCAAAAGCGGCGGAAGGAACGGGTAGCAATCGGGATAATAGGAAGGGACGGTTGTTGGTATGGCAAGTGACGTAATCGGTCCAGACGATTGACGATTTACCTCTACGCCGTCTAATATTGAACACCACAAAGAACATCACCAGGGCTCGGCAAGGGGACTACTGAATACAGTTAAATTAGGTTTCAAGCTACTGCCCAATCACGAGGTTGGCAATAGGGATATTTATCAGAGGCAAAACGTTTACCACCTGCATCCAATCACTAAGCTCTTGGATGTGCGTCAAGGCGGGGATGGTGCATTTTTGAACCAAAGTCTGGAGTATGTCAACAGGCGCACCCAAGGGAAATCTACTCTACTCTACTTCCAGGATGAGTTATACATAGATCAATTGTAATAGGGTCGCTCGAGGGAGGGGCGTTAGGGCAAATGTAGTAGTTGTAAGCCGTGCAGAAGTTAAGTGTAGCATGTGTAGTCCAAGTCCAAACCTTCTCACCCTCCATCATTGCCCTCACAAAAGGGCGTTTCTTGCTAGTTTGCAGGATCGCCCATAGCTTTTGCCCAACCCGCCAGGCCAATCGTGTTGGTCTCTTCTGGGACGGACCCTAGCCACTGAGTAATCTATTTGTTGTCTGGCCCACACCCACACTTTCGCCACCTCCAGCGACCCAAAAAGAGCCAAGATATCTACTAGTACTAGGGGATGCGATGCAGGAGCCGAGCAGCGTTACACTCCATAAGAAGATGTCAGTAACTTTCCTGGTGCTGCTTGGTCCACAACGGATGTTATGAGTAGCCCTGCTAGCTCCCATTTGGGAGGGCTGCTGGCTGCATGCAGCAGAGTCTGTGACATGAACTTTGGTTGAGCTGCTGGACCACCACCACTTCTCCCCACGGCGCATTCTGCGTTCTGGGTCTGAAGCTGTTTGTCGGCTCCGCCCCCCTGCCTAGATGCCTTATTTCCCAACCCTCCTCCATGGCCACGGCAAGATTGCCAAGATTTCTTTCCTTAGTGATGAGGAAGAGATCGTCGATGTAGGGATGAAGGTATTAGCACCCCCCTGCTCGTGATTCGTAGTACCTTTCTGTTTTGTTCGTCAACCGTTGCTAGAAACTGTTGGGCTAGACCATTGATGCGTTTCGTAATATTTGACAGCTTGCTTTTTGCTATCGGTTGCCAGCTATCAGTCAATATTTACGTTTCCGGCGGTGAAAGCTGGCCAAGCACCTACTGTCAAAGGACTTATCTCAAGTGCATCAAACCCCCCCTCTCTCCAATTGATGCTCGAGACCCTGGTGGGGCCAATTCAATTTGTCAATGGTTAGTCTACGAAGGAGTTGCCTCGCTTTCTGGTGTCGCGTCTTTCAAAAAGCTTGTGAAAGGGCGGCGGGGCAAAGGGGGGTCTTGTCGTCGCCGGCGACTTCGGGGCCCTCGAGGACCTTTCCGTAGTCGCCGACAGAAATGCTGACAATTCCACATGGCCAGGTCGGAGTCATTTGATTCAGTTGTTGTCATTGATCTCCACTGCGAAGGCTTCGTAAGGCACTAACCCCATCAGTCACAAGGAACCAGCCGTACAATTGTACTTCATAAAATGAGGAGTAATGCAATCCCAAACCAGAGAGCCCAACAGACACAAGGGAAGGAGGGAAGGAAACCTCGCCAGACACACGGTACCTCCTACTGCTTCGTATGCGAGACTGGATCGACGATGCAATTGTTACGGCACGCGGCGTAGGGACAATACTAAGTAGTTGCAGGGCGCATTGGTGCCTTTCGTGGTGCTACGTACTCTCGTACACGAGAAGGAGGGAGGGAGGAAGCAACCATCCTCCCACAAAGGAGAAAGATGTGATAGACCTGGGATTCTCATGAGGAACGAACGACCCTGGGTAAACCTGGGTGACCTAGCACGAGCCAGGCCAAGAGTCGAAACTATGACATCTTGTCTGTGGGTTGGAATCTTCCAGCTGGATCCCCATTTCCCTGAAGTAGGGCGCTCGGGGGTGGAAAGAGCCCTGATTCGCCAGACACCGGCATTTGAGCAATCTTTAGCCCCCATTTGACTGGCTCCAGGTACCTTGGTGTGGTGGGCACTTGCTGCATTCCCCCCCGCTTGGTATAGCCCATGTACCCTGCAGCTGCACCACAGTCAAGCTGCATAAGAGGTACATGGGGGAGGGTACGGTGAGGTACGACGAGTCGCTCCCCAGGTCTCCCCCTCCGTGCCCCGGTCCGGTCGTCGCTTTTCTGGTTCTCCTTCTTCATAGCTCTTCCAACCTGGTCCGGATATCAAATCACTTTTATCGCCCCCTTCCGTCTTCCATTAATAAAGCTACACTCTCGAGTATTCTTAACATTTGGACTTTCCCCCATCTTGTCTCCCTCCTTCAACGTTTCTTATTTATCCTCCTCCCAAGACTCTCCTTAACACTCAACGACGACTGACTGCTCCCTCTTCCCCTCACAAAAGATCCAAGCAATCTAGCGGCTTTCCAAAACCCTCCTTTGGACAAATATCGGCCAATATCAGCATCGGCTTGATCTCGAGCGGGATCACCCCGTTTTTGCAGCAGGGCCCTTTAACGATCGCACAATCTATAATCTTCAACCGTGTCCTGGTTCGGATCGACGGCTTCTCACGTACGATTCGCTCACCGGCACTTCTTTTTTGTAGTTTCTGGAAGGCCTGAGGATCGCAATATCTGGAGCTTTTCCGTCGCACAACTAGCTTCGCCACGTCACGGACCTGGTACTGGCAGCCGGCACTCGAGTTTCAAAATAACAGACGATTCCCCTCTTTTTGATCTCCGGCTAGAATCGCTAGTACCGCTTTGCCATTTGTCTGTGTCGATATAGCTATCCCCAGGCCTGTTGCTATTTTGGACTATTCCCTGGCCCCCTTCCCCTTTTTGCCCTACCCTACATTACATTACATTGCTTGTTCCCTGCTGCGGCAGTCTTGGAACATCAATCTGAAGACAAGCGGAGCGAGATCCGGGCACGGAACAACTTTAGTGCTCGAGCCCCACTACATCATTCCCCTCCTTCAGCACCTTTAGCCACCAAGGCCACACTGACGAGACCCCACCACACCCCTCCTTCGTGCATTGAAAGACTCCCGTTTCACGCGCCCTTCTTCTCGAACCACCCTCGACCTACTTCTATTGAAACATCGGCCCACCTCAACTGATCTCGCTATTCTTCACGAAAACTCTCCAACCCGATCCCTATCCGACTGCGCCCCCATCGCTGCCTCACTGTATCGCTAGTAGCTAGCCTCTAAATATTTAAATTATCCGGAAGTTCCCCCGAAGCAAATTCCCCTTCCCTTTCACCATGACCAACAACATTAGCGACAACACTACCAACAACAACGTCGACGAAACCAACAACATGAACCGAACTCGCAGGGGCTCTGTCGGCAATGCCGTCTTTAGAAACCTCTTCCAGCGAAGCTCTTCGACTTCGACTGGTTCAGCCAGCGTCTTGCCTCCGGCGGCACTGAACATTAACGATGCTGCTCAGCGGCGTCGCCTGTCCGTCTCCACCCTCGGCATCCATGGCACGTCGCCCACTTCCAGCAATGCACCCTACCACTTCCGTAGGGCGAGCACGTCCACCAACTCTAACCACTCCGAGGCCATTGATGAGTGCGCAGTCGAGGAGGACGACATGATCTACTCCTCCAGTGCAAAGACTGCCCCCACCAGTCCATTTCGACGTATGAGTATGGGAGGGCCCCCAGGACGTGGTTTCCGCAACGGAAGCATTGGTACAGGTAAGACCAGATCTGCCATACCTCGCACACGCGGTACATCTCTCCCTAGATCAAACTCCCCCCTCTCTTTTCCACATCTTCACCAACCCATCCTACCTGCGACTAGGTCACAAGGCCACCCGGAATCATGCACACACGGCTTTTCTCCTGCAACCGTTGCCAGCCCAATCCCGGTGCATTTCCGAGGAGATGTTGTGCATATGCCTCGTGTGGATGTACTGCATGTGCTGTTCCTACCGCCTTGCATCTTCTTCCGCCTTACAAATCAGTCCATCCCGATTGTTTCTTTCATACTTAAAAGTAACCAAGCGACTAACCCGTGCGCTTCCAAATCTAGACCAAAACACTTTTAGCTGGGCTGAGCAACTCCGGACCCGAGCCGAAAGCTCGGTTTCTGGCCAACGGCCTTCCTTCTCTTTTGCGAGCAGCTTTAGCACCTCTCCCCCTCGTGCCAACTTCGTTCCCTCTCCTGTGGAGCGTGCCCGGCCCGCGGTCGAGATGCAGGCGCCTCCTGCGCAGGCAGCGGCCGTCAAGCCCAAGCAGCCTGAGAGGCGAAAGCCAGATCCCTTCCAGGAGCGTATCTTGAAGGGCGACTTCTACATGGACTAAACTATTCCTCGACCCTTTGGAATGAATTCTCATGCGAAGGGAACACCCCAAGTCCCCACCTTCTCTTCCAAAATGATCTCCATCTCCCTCCACCCTTTCTTCCGGGCCCTTACTTCGTTGGGACCGCCTCGCAATATCCCCACATGGGATCGCACCTTATCCACCCACGCCGAACGCCCATGTTTTAACAACTTATGTATCACTTATGAAGCACATTCACATTTACACCACTATTTATTTCGCTGGCTTTCGGCGCCACACCATCTAACGGATTGGGTCGAAAACATGACACACCCACTCCTTACAGCAATGCGAACAGTCCTTTTATTTACTTGTCTCGGCTGGGGAGCCCACGAAGGAAGGGGTACGGATCCGGCTAAGGAGTATACTTAGTGCTGGAGTGTGGCGAGCCATGGAGAACAGGTAACAACAAGGGTGGGCCGTTGTGACGAACAGCCACCCTCTGTTTTTTTTTTAAGCTGCCTCGAGATGGCATCCCCAGTGGGGGAGGGGCACTTCGAATCTGATATACGCACGACTTGGCACGGTATAGAGATTGGAAGCAGTTTGTATGAGTCGCTGCTGAGCCGCGCTTCCAATGCTGGGACACGATATATTGATGAGCATCGATTTAGCGGCTATGAGTGCAGGAGTTATTGATTTGGTTTGGACTTCTAGCTACTATGCTACCATGGGAAATTGGCGGGTTTATACTCGGGACTTGGAACTGATGCATCTTGTCTTTTTGATGGACGCGGCATGTGGGGAGGGTGGTGTCTGGATGCAGGTTTTATATGCATGCCTCCACATCCATTGAAGAACCCCGCAAGAGTGGCACCATTCCGTTGCACGGCGGGGAAAGGGAGGGGACGTGAGACGGCAACGGATCTCTCATACCGTGGAAGGCGTTTGCAGACTGGAATTATAGAGACGGGAGGGGAAGGCTGCGGAACATTTATGTATGGGTTTATGATCGTTACCGGAGTTTTTATCCCTCTTTTTTCTACTCTTTTCTCCGAGATTAGATGATGTACGGTTATGGATGATGTGTAAATGACGGCTCGGAACGGGACAGAAACGCCCAAGGGCCGCAAGATTAGTCTCTTTATTCACAGAATGGAAGAATATCATCTTATTATTCAGTGTATACATGTTACATGCTATCAGACAACGTGATTTGACAGCTCTTTGCTAGATTTGACCGGGATTAGAAGATGAAGAACTGTATTCGAAAGTCTATGCTAGAGGAAGAAACAGAATCCCAGGCACACCTAAACACCAAGCAATGCATTCAAAGGGCCCCTCCTATATCCATTTGCCTCGCTCGGCATCCAAGTGTCACAGGCTAGATGTCGTGACCCGGATAAAGTAACGCAAAAGAAAAGACATGATTCAGGGCAAAACGCTAACAACATTTGCTAGGGACCGTTTATTTTTATATCGGGGTCTCAGGAGCCCGATATTGGTATAACCATTGTTATAATAGTAACTTTTAAACACCTTAAATTGCGAGAATCTGGTTATACATGTTAGTAGCTGTGTGTGCGAAGGGTGACGGGAGCAGTCAGTGTGCCATAACTTACCTGCTTCAACGCCGCCGCATCCAACATAGCTGCGCGTTTGGCTGCCACGCGGCGGGCATGATGGATATGGCGGCCCTTCGACAGACCGGTGGGAGTTGACGTGCCAGAGGCGGAGGGAGTATTGACAAGGGTTGTAGAAGCGGATGATTCGACGTAAGTTGGGGTGGAGGCTTGTGTGGCATCGGGGTCGGCGGGCTCAGATTTGGAGGATTTGCCCTTCTTCTCTTTCTTTTCCTTTTTCTCCTTTGATTCCTTTTTGCTCTTTTTATCCTTCTTACTCCTCGTAGGCGCTTCCTCCCCGTCGTCTGGAATTGAAGTTTCGGATGGGTCCTCGCTCAGATTCTCGGCACCCTTTGTTTTGGACTTGCTCTTCTTCTTATCCTTGTTCCTCTTCTTCTTTCCGCTATCGACGCCCGAAGAAGAATCGGCTTCGTCCTGGGTCGTCGAGGCAGATCGGTCCTTCTTCGACTTCTTCTTGGACTTCTTTCCGGTATCGGTATCGTCGGGGGTGTTCGCTTCAGTTGACACTTCGGTGCTCAGTTCGGCTTCGGATTCTTGCCTCTCTTTCCGCTTCCTCTTTTTCTCCTCCTTTCGCTTCTTCCTCTCCGCTCGCGACTCGTCGTCTTTCCTGCGCTTCTTTCGCGGCGCGTCCTCTTCCATCTCCTCGTCTGGTTCCTCTTCGGCTTTCCTCTTCCCGATGTTCGCCATCGTTTCAGCACTAGAATCACCGCTCGTTGCGACAACAGTTTCAGTAGCGGATACCACAGAAACAGACGTCTCGATCATATCCAACCCCTCCTGGACGAGCAGACCACCCCTCACGAACGTGATCCCACCGACCCTCTGGCCAAGATACACCAACGCCTTCTTCCTCTCCCTCTCCCGCTTCTCCTCCTCCGTCTCCACTTTTCCGTTCAACCTTGCGAATATATCCTTGACCTCGTCGATGCCCGCAATGTCATTCTCCCCGTTTCCCCCGCCCGCTCGGTATCCCAAGCCGCCGGCGTCATCCTTCATCAACACGCGGATATATGAGGCATTGGCCGCGCTGTGGTGAACGGCGTGTGCTGCATCGACAGCGCCGAGGTACGATCCGGGGGTCCAGCCGTGGGAGCGGAGGATGCGCTGGCCGAAGGTGGTGGTGTCCTTGAGCCAGCGGTGGTTGTTGGGGTCTTTGGAGATGCGACTACGTGGAGGCGGTTAGCTTCTAAGGCGAGGGGGGAAAAGGTTGGGGGTTAGGGATCTGGAAAGGATCAATTTTACCCTTTTGCCATCTTGAAGAACGTGCTGTGAGAGCACGTAGGGGCTTTACCTAGGGGAAGATGGCTTGGTAGGACCCTTTGGGAGATATGGAGATGGGCGATTGATTTGGCCTGGCACAAAATTGAAGTCGGTGGGAAAAAAATAGCCCCAGAAATTTTTGGTGGGGTTGGTTTGGCCTGACAATTTTCATTGGCACATATTTTGCCGAGGTATAGCCAACAGGTGGTTTCAACTGCTCACCTTAACTCACTTGACCTCACCGAGAACTTCATCTGTCCATGAGTCCAACCTCACCTGTGTAGGTCAAATTACTAGAGAGGAGAAATGGTTACTGCGGTCCTGAAATAGAGGCTCTATCCTTTGGATATATGTATTTCTTGTTGGTGAATTCCGTTTCTCTTTGACATTAAGATATTTTAGATTCTAATATATCCACCCAGGAACTATTTCAACTCTGATTTTCAGTCATGTTCTCATCTTTCCATCTAGCATCACATCTAATCTACATCTTTCAGTAAAATCTCACTTAATTCTAGAAATATTCATCTTACAAACCCTCAACAAAGCTGGATACCATGTTTCTTCCTTCTTGTTATGGTCATGAAATTGTGGTGGGCGCTTGGTCTCCCACACACTACCATCACCACTTCGTGTAAGTCAACTCCGACTTCATTCTTCAGCGTCATTCAGGTATGAGCTACAATAAAGGTGCAAGCACGATAGCACGGCTGTAGGTGAAACACACATCTTCGAATGGCAGTTTCTTCCTAGAGGAGAAAAAAGAAGAAACTTTTCTTCCTCCTTCATACCTCCAATTCCTTGATCACACCCAACACTAGGTAGGATACTGATCATCGACAAACATTGCCCATCGGTTGAAACTGGTTGAAACACTCCATCGAGCCAAGTTTCAACCAATTATGCCTATTTATTCCCGTCGCATTCTTCAGAGTCGAGCGAGACTTTCTGGAATCAAGAAAAGGGAGATGAGCAAACGCAAGGTAAGTCCATTTCCTGCAGTATCGGGAGCCCTCCTGGACCGGCTTCTGATTGTTTATATCCGCAGAGGTCGAAGCGGTTCTGCGAGAGCAAGCGCCGCCAAGCTCATGACGGCAAAGCCAAAGGCCCCAAGCGAGCTGATGCGGCTGCTCAGCAGCCTGAACTAAAGCAAGCTGATCTGCCTCCTCACCAAGCGGAGCATGCTGAGCGCGCCGAGAACACTGAGAATGCCCAAAACGCCGAGGAGGTGGGACGCAATCATGGCGAGGACCGGTACGTCCGACGAAAAGTGAAGATTCCATTTCGGAACATCGTGCTAACAGTTAGCAGAGAAGCTCTCTGGAATGACTGTGCCAGCGCCGACATCATGATCGCTAGCCGAGGATTTCACTGGTCGGTTCACCAGAGGGTTATTGCTGTCGAGGCTCCCCGTTTCTACCAACTCATCATGACAATGGCGAATGTAAGTACATCAAGACATATAAATTCGATAAGAAGCTGACATCTTACCACCTTTCGATTAGGATGGCCGGATTGTTGACCTCTCTGCCTGGCAGCCGCAAGTCCTGGGAGAGCTTTTGAGATTCCTTTACGTCCATGGTAGGTCCTATTTTCCGCACATACTTACCGTCCGGATCCCTATCCCGAGTATTGTGGCTAATAGTTCTGTTCTGCGGCGGTGGTAGACTATATAGTGCTAGACGGATACCCGCCCGAACCGTCCAATCTCCGCTGCGTCCCATTTCACGTCCACATGGTTTGCCAGGGATGGACATTGCACTTCCCCAGAGATGCCCTGAGAGATCTGGTTGTTGAGAAGATCAACCAGAACGCGCACGAATTCAAGGCGGCTCTGGATCATCGATTGGGCAAATGCCGTCTCATTCTACCCGGATATCTCCCCATTTCTGACTCTCTCTACGAGGCTCTCTTCTTCCTGTACAGCCAGACCGAAATCAACCTCATCCGGAAGATGTTGCCCGTCCGAGCGGCCCTTTGCCGCCTAGTAGACATCGCTCTGCCGTGGCTGCTCGAGCAGCCTGGATTCCCGGGTGTTTTCAATTCTCGTTGGGTCCGGGGCCCCGTCGGTTTCGCTTGGCAGCGCGACCATTACATCTTCAGCAGGATCGGATGCATGTTCCCTAGCTGGAGGGAACCCACCATGGTGGAATTTGAGCAGACGGTCAAGGACGTCGAGCAAGGCCCCCATTAGGTTGGGGAACACATGGCAAGCGTGTACATTAGCAAGCGGACTTAGTGATGACAAGGAAAGAACTCTTGGCTGGTGGATTTTTGAGTTGAAAAATTAGATCAATAATCCGTTTTTTATTGACTTTCTTTAATCTCTTGTGTACCTTGAGATTAACCCTTCTGAAAATTAGTAGCGAGAATACCAGCAAACGAGGTAAAGAGAATCAATGGTACCTGTGTACTTCGTAGCTCATGGCGGATTCGATTCTTCATTCTCCCCAAAGTCAGCGAGGATCTGAACAGGTGGCGACTGTTGCCATCTGGTAGTACAGCTGACATTTAGCTTCCCGTCATTGTCGCTTCTTGCCTCTTTAAAGGTGGGGCATTCAAGCTGGGGCAATGGAAGCACCTTCCAGAAGCCACCAACACGTCGAAAGCTGGTTGCCTTCTTCGTACTTCGTCGTTTACATCCTCCCGAGCAACCACGAATCACCTTCCTCCGCTGCCAGTTTCAGAACATTTCGCAACGTCGATTTCGAGACAAGATGGCAGATATAACGACAATTTCGAGCAGTGCACAGTTTGCTGACATCCTGAAGAAGTCCGCCGTCGTCGTTGTGGACTGTGAGTGCCTCCAAAAGCTACCCCGCGCCTCCACTTTAAAATCAGCGAGAAACCGCCCCTCGGAGAGGGCATATCGGGAAGATGCAGACAGGGTTTTTTTTTCGACATGCCTGGGACTTGCCTGCCCGAAATACGCTTTCCACCTAAATCAATCATGCGCCGATTTTCTCTTGTTGTGTCTACTGACTCAGAGCCTCTACAGTCTTCTCTGACCGAAGCGCACCGTCCCAGGCTATCGCGCCACTTTTCGAGCAATGCGCCGAGTCCTTTTCGAAGCCGAACGCGGTGACCTTCCTCAAAGTCGACACCGAGAAGCAAAAGGATGTTTCCCAAGCCTACCGAATTACCTCCCTGCCCACTTTCCTCCTTTTCCGTGATGGTAAGGAAGTTAGCCGCGTAACGGGGGCTGACCCAAGGAAGCTCCAAGATCTGGTTACCAAGATCGAAGATGCTGCTAGCGCCGCGGAATCGGGCGGCGCCTCTGGTTCTGGAGCGGCTTGGCGGGGTGCGGATCTACCTAGAGGATACGGGGACATCACGAGCGAGATTGAACTGAAGGGGTGTGATCTGCTAAATGCGGATGATGATTCCGGGCCTGTGCGTGTGCTCTTCGATTCATCCAAGCCTAGCGCTTTGGACGACTCGAGAGCGGCTGCTGTGAAGGTCTCCGGAAAGAAGGACTGGATAGAGAGCGGAGCTGATGACCAACTGCTTCTCTTTTTGCCTTTCCGGTCCATGTTGAAGCTCCACACAATCCAGGTCAGTTCCACGAAGGGTCCTCAATATACGACCCTGGTCTTTCAGCTAACATTACCATCTACAGCTTACATCTCTACCTCCCGCGGACTCTGATGACGACGAAGAACCCCCAATGCGACCCGGTACTATCCACCTTTATACCAACCACTCTCACAATCTCGACTTTAGCGAAGCAGATGATACCCCACCCACCCAGGCCGTCACGCTCACCTCAAGCGACTGGAATAAAGACGGCACAGCGAGCATTAGTCTACGGTTTGTCAAGTTCCAGAATATCAACAGTGTGGTCCTCTACGTCGTCAAGGGAGACGGCGATGGCGAGAAGGTCCGTCTCGATAGGGTTAGGTTAATTGGAGACTCTGGAGAGAAGAGGGAGATGGGCAAGCTGGAGAAGATGGGGGATCTCCCTGGCGAGTAATTGTGAGGCGGTGCGGAATTGGCAATTGGAGGAGAAGGGGGAGCGGGGCTGGGAAGGGAGGAGAAGACAGGAATGTAGAGAGCATTCATCTTGCTTTCACATATCACTGTGGTGGAGGCTGGCTCTTGCCACACCTCAGTAGCGTCATCCAATGAACAGCCAGGATTCAGAGGGCATTCAGATGTATGTTCTCATGTTAGAGTAGCCGCCCAGCTCTCACGAGTCGCCTGTCCCGGCCTCCTACTTTCTACACTTGGGAAAGGGTGTGGAGGTTCTTTGCGAAAGATAGACGAGACTGGACAGAACTGAGGGGGGATTCTTTGCCTCCCTTGAAAAAAAAAAAAAAGAATAAGACCGGCAAAAATGAGGAAACGCAGAATAATTGACTAATGATTGACTGGACTGGGTAAAATAACGGCAAGGGAACTCGTCAGACGGAGTGTGGCTAATCAAGCGGAGGAACGGGATGGTAATCGAACCATGCCTCTGGGAGTTCTTCCAGGTTCTTCGCTCCAGCCCGTGAAGGTGAAGAAGACAGAGAGATGCTGGATACCACCGGGAGTAGTTTTAGTTGCAGATATTTAGTAGAATATACCGGGCCCCAACAACAGGTGGGGTTGGTTTCCATTCTCGCTGACCGGGGGGCTAGCGAGGCGAGGTCCCGGAAGCGAGCGAGGGTGTGTGTAAATATAAATATATAACGATGCGAGGCGAAAGTGGGGTTGGGAAGATGGGAAGACGGAGGGGTCGTCGATCTTCCAGATATGATTGGGAAGAATGTGATGTCGAGATTTGAGCAAGATTTTAATATCTGACGAGAAGAACACCGCTCTTGTTCCAAGGTTCGTCGACCGGCTCTCTCTTCGCCTCACAGGTATTAAGGTGAGGCGAGGTGAGGGCAGACGTGAGCCTGAGATTGGTGAGCATGCCAACTGGCTGATATATTAGGCATTGGCCAGTAGCATACGACAAAAGGCATCGCCATAGGAAGCAATTACAGACAGAAAGAGATGGTTGTTGGGATTCATCTTCCCCACACAAGTCAACTGCCAACGAGAAACGAGAGAGCAAGACAGGACGTGGCCATCTCTGACGGACGCATCCGCCTGGCCATTGGCCCACCTATCAAGGAAAGAGGGCTACGACCATGAACAGATCCGATAGGATCATGCATGCAACGTTCCGCTCTCAGCGTTTGCATCTCTCTCTTTCGTCACCGGATCAGGAAAAGTTCTTTCCCGACTGAAATTATGTCCAGCCTCCGCCACCCCCAGTAACCAGCAGTAGAAAAAAAAGCTGGCAATACCGGAAGAGACGCATATTTAAGGCAGGCCTGCAATTATGATCAATCTGTGGCGCTGGACCCGTTGAATAGGAGAATCCATGGAAGAGCTTGGGATTTCGAAAAGTTTAGACTTTGGGAAACTACGGAGTCACGCCAGCCGCACGAGGAAAGAAAAGAAGAAGAAAAAGAGATCAAAAATTCTGGCTCGTGAGATGGAATTTTATAGTGCAGAGTGTGTGGTTGGGCGAACCCCACTCTCGGAAGGGTTAGTTTACCCGATTTGTCTGTTCGGATTAATTATCATCCATGAGGGCAGCCAGAACAAGGGTACTGGCTAACCACAGCGCTATTGTCTCTTGACCTTGTTCTCGACGTGCCGTGCTCGCCGGAAGGACTGAACCCCCACCATCAACCGGCACACTCACGAGGTCTTAACCTCATCTACCAACAGTGCTTGAAATGCAAGCTCCGTCTTAGAATTTCTCTGTAATTACGGAACCAGTGACCCTGGCTTGGCATTGAGCCTGTGACGAACTACTGCCATAGGGCCTGTTCCGGCTGCGAAAGGGGGCTTAGCGAATGTTGCGAGTTTGCGCAGGAGCCCAAACGGCGAAGCAACGAGGACCAGGAGAATTTCTTCGATGCCTTTCTCTGGCACTGAGACGTGATGTTCAGGGGCTAGAAATGGGCGAGGACAGATCGGCTGGTGATCGGAAATCCGAACGATTCCTGGAATAGGGGGGCCAGATACTGCGGTCCATGGGTCTGGTATTAACCGCCTGCAAAAGGCAAGGACAAGCCTTTTGAAATAGGGGGGCCAGCGTCCAGGCCACTCGGAACATCAATTGGCCATGAGGAAAACCATCTCGGTGGGTGGGCAGAGAGAGGGCGGGATGTCTTATAACAGCCGACCTATAGTATACCGTAAGGCTTCATAATACCTCGTTCTATATAGCTACCTATGCGCTTTTCCACCAACTCTAAGCCGCCTTCGCTTCTACCTCCTGATATTTGGGGCTTGGATGAGGTACTAGCAGTCTCGCGCGCATTGTCACTCACCCTCCGCTTCGTCTTCTGGCTTTCTGGTGCCGGGTCGGCTGACGTTGGGGGCACACCCTTCGAGTTCGAGTCCCAAGTCGTAATTTGGGGGTCCCTCAACGGGGGGTAACAAATTTCCTTCGAGTTCAAGTTGCCAGTATTATGGTCAATTGATGTAGACCAGTTTCCTACTCCTTATTCCCTAGGCAGTACTCTCAGACATAATAGAGCGTGACCCAGAAAGAAGTAGTCAAGGCGTGTGGCTGTATCAGAGATTGTAATCTTGATTGATTATTCAGCCCCGTGCAATACAACGACTGCTGCCCTGTTTTCTTGACTTATTGCCTTCATGTGGCTCAGACGGAATGGCTGTTACTTTAAACGCAGTAGGCACTCCACAGATGAACCCAGACACCCACCATATTGCTTAGCCTTTCCCGGTACTGTGCCGGTGGCAATAAATATCACCCGTAGCGTAGCATATAATGGGATATCTGGCTGAGCGATGCGGTGAAGCTACGTGCCGAGGTTGGTTTGCTGGATGAACAGTGTTGATGGAGGGGTGTGAGAAGAATGTGGAGGTAATATATTAATATCAGCAGCGGCACTGGCAAATAAAAATATGCGGATCCCGCCCGTTGGATTTCTTTGGTATCATCGGATTTTGTTGGATTCGACCTGCACCTGCTAGTAGAAACGGCTCAAGGATGGGTGGGCTGCAACGGGAATGAGTTCTATTTCTCGCCACGGCATTTGACGGTGAGGGTCGACCGACCTGTACGAGCGGACTGGGAAATTACCTTGATGCTGGTCTGCAGATATTCTGCATTGGTTCTTTCTTCTCCCCAAATTCGAGCAAATGTCATAATGCGCGGATCCGAGATCACCTTACCATTCGATGCGGAACGGCCAATGGATTTTAGGAACGAAATAGCCTGGCCACGCCCTTTTCACACAGGCGAACAGCCTGGTAATGGCAGGAGAGGGAGGGAGAGACGGATGCAAGACGATGAGCAAACAGCTGCAGCCGTCATGGAAGTTGGCCGCATGCGAGCGGTTAGTCTCGCAGTCCCGCAGGGATGCAGGGTTTTGGAAAAGGGAAAAACGGAAGCGATCAGAGGCAATACTTCCCTTTTCAGTCAGTCACGACTGGGCGAAGAGACCAGATAATGTCCAGGCGGTCCCAAAATCCGGAGGAGCCTCCATTCTTGTCTTCCCCGACGGTGAAGCCTACCGCCGTTGCATTTGGAAGCGTGAAAGTTGGTTTGGTGGGGGGGAGGAAGGAAGGGGGAGGTCATCTTGTGCGATCAGCTCCGCAGGATCATAGAGATCATCTGGCTGTCCAACTCGACAGTTCGCAGGGAGTATCTCCAATCCTGTTTCCTAGTTTGATTGAAGTTTTCATGCAGATTCCACTAAGTAGTTCGCGCAAAGGAAGGGGGGGGGAGGAACAAGTAGAGGTCGGCCAAATCTTTGAGCGGGCCGGCGTCCGAGAGAAGCTTGGCGTGAATGGAGACCACAATATGGAGCAGTGAGAGATGATACATTGGTCTAGATGTAGAGGGCGTTGGGCTTGATTCGAAGGGGTGCTGCTGAAGCGAACTCGGATATCTTGCTTTCGCAGCATCACGAACTCCAACACGGACGTCAACACGGACATGACGCAAAACGTCCTGGGTTTTTCTTTGTTTCGCCTAGTGAATAAAAGGGAACGCTTCGAAACGATGCCAATTCCAACCTGCAGAAGATAATCGAGGATCCAAGTGATTGATTTCACCTTCCCACTTGTTTCGGGGTCGAGATCTCCATCGACGTTAGATCTGTCGTGAGGATACACGAACGATTGGCGCATCCAGTTTCCCCCTTTTCCGGCTAAGAGGCATCGTGGATTCGTTCATCGCAGCCAGCGTTCAAGCAATGACCTGGGCCGCACCCACGGACTTCACCTGCAGGACCAGAATGAAGATGATACATTTGATTGAGGTCGAGGTCAGTTCGCCAATCTTGTCCAACCAATTCCCCAAATCACGTGGTCTCTGGGGTATTTTCTGGGGGCTTCAACAAGTAGTTTACGTTCTAATAGGGCACTTCCGAAGAAATTCAGATAAACCCGGAAACAGAATTGTGGACAATGTTCTGGAAACCCTAGACGTTGTTGGCCAATATCAAGTATCAATGCTGCAATCTAAATGCGACGGAAGATAAGAGGTCTATATTGATCAATGTTCAGAAGAATTTCCCCCATGCTCCCAAATCTTCGCAATGCCTTCACTGGGCACCCTTGACAGCGCAGAACCTTTCTTTTCCTGGTACGGGTGTGCGCCTCGATGATGCCTCTCTGGACAAGTACTTTCGTACTTTGAACATTTCCGTTGATCCTTGGTTCGATGTCCCCAGCCGTCTGGCATGCCCCTCCCCCTCCCTCCATCTGGACAAATATGCCTCCCAATTCAATTCCAAGCGACATCATTATGTTTGGCCCTATATGCCAAATTTAGATATCCTACCCAAATCTCTCAAATGTCCCGTTTTGGGGCTGCATTAGCAAACCACGACTTGTGCCGTCGTTGCTTTCTCCCTCTTTTCTTCTCTTCGCTCGGAGACATCCTTGGATTATTGCGGAGAGATACCTGAATATTTACTCTTTCTTTTCTCTTTCCCTTTCCTCCCTCACATC